TCACTTCTACTGGGCCTCCATTTCTTCCTTCTTTTCTTTCAATCCTCACATTTCTTTTCTTATACCCTTCTGCCTCCCCACTTGCACTTTTAAGTGGCTCTGTGAAAAGTTTGGCCACTTGAATAATCAAGAATAATTCCTGTATTTTAAGGTCATCTTAATCCCTCTTTGCCCTCTATCCTGATGTAGTCACAGATTGTCAACAACTCCAGAAACAGGTATTCTCCCAATCACAGTGAAAACTATAGTAAGACATAAATATAAAAAGGTGGAATTTTCATTCTTTGTTTTTTTAACCATTTATTTACTATTAAAATGTATTAAAACATATACTATTTTCTTGATTTATAAACTAAGTTATTTCATCTAATTATTTCATGATCACTGATGTGGCACACACACTTAGAAGGGGTAAATAACAACTAAAAAAAAACGTGATACCAAATCTGTTGGAAGCCAGAGAGCTAGTGGTTTTCTTTTGATACCAGATTTATTGTATACTCCTGTATACTCCTGTCTGTCTTTACTTAAATCATATTAAGACCTTAAACAATTTGACATAAGTCATAGCAGGTCTTTAAGTGTATTTACTTAATGCATTCTTTTTTACTGGAGTTTTATATCAGAAATACATTTGTACAAAATTATTATGGCTTCTGCTTATAATAGTGAACTTCCCATTATTGTTCTCCTTGGGTTTCTATTAGAATATTTGAGTGAAAGGTATTGTGTTTTATTTCTTTTTGTAGTCTCAACACTTAGAAAAAGGGTAGGTATGTTGTAGGTCTTCAATATAGTGAGATTAGATAGATTAGCATCCCAATAATCACCAGATTTTTACTTCTTAGGTTTTACTATATTTTTCTAGGGAGGTCTTTTTTATTGTCACATTTATGATGAATAGGTCAAAATATTTTAAATTAAAGATTAATTGGGAGATATGAAATGTTTTAAGAATAATTTTAAACATAGAATCAGGGCTATCTTTGTATTAGGAAATCAGAATCTATGCCTCCTAACCCTCACAATGACTTAAAAAAATCCACTTCTTATATGAAGGAGATAAGTAAATTCTAGTCAGCCTTGTCTATCAGCCAACAGTTTCTATAAATTTAAACTCATCAGATTATCTTGACAATCTCATTGTATTTTAATGTGTCTTTTTAAAATCAAAAATTGGTTTAAAATATGGTTTAACATGAATTCTATTTTTACAAAGTATGCTCCTATATGTTAATATGAAATAGAAAAAAATATGCTAAAACTTATCTCACAGAAATAAAGAGATAAATATGGAAAAAATTGGAGAAAGTTCTGAGTGCATCAAAAGTTAGATTACTTCTAAAACTCTGCCTCTAGACCAAGCCAATTATTAGGAAGCTCCTAATTGTTATTCTATTAGGGCCCAGTCTTTGCCTTCCTTTGCATTTTTTATAAGCAGATAATGAACTATACTTACTGTGAAGAAAAAGTTATGCCTAATGTCTTTCTAATGATTGTGAATCCAGAGTTAGCCTCTTTTTTCATTATATTTTCTAAGTCTGAGTGATAGTATATAACTTTAAAATTTGTGACCCATTTTTTTTAAATATCCAGAATTCATTGTTTTTTCTGTTTTTAATGTTATGTTTATTCTTACTATAAAAATAATTTTAATTCTAAAGCAATTCAAATCCTGAAATAATTTAATTAAGAAGAGAGCTAAAAATAAATCACTAAAATTTTTATCCAGAGAGCTGGGTGAGGTCACAAGTACAAAAACTAAATGTTTGTATTCTAATCTTTTAAGATACTTTTCCTTAAGTACATACACATTATTAAATAATGATATTTTACATGATGTTTGATAACCTTAAAACATCAAAAATTGTTAATGCTTTTCTATGGCAATAACTGTAGATCTATATTATCATTGTTCTATGTTAAGTGTTCCATGTATATGGAATCACTGAGTGGCCAAACAATGGTCATTTATTTACATATTTTTCAAAAATTTTAATTATGAAAGGTCTTGAGAGATGTACATTCCTTCCATGATTGTCCAGTTTTCAGTTAGAATCCATGACCAGAAATAGAATTAGTTGATCAAAAGGTATACTGTTGTAAATATTGTTTGTGTATTGGACTTATAATTGTTTATCATTTTTTTTTTACTCTTTCCAAAACTTTCAGCTTTCTTCTACTGGTCTTGTCAATTATATTTTTTCTGATTTATTAATTTCAATTTTAAATTAATTATTTGCAACCTCCTATTTTCTCTTGTTCTCCTTTTAGTTCCCTGTAACTCCTCTATCCCAATTCTCAAGATTAATATTCACTACAGTTTAATATTAGAGAATGTGATCTATGGATCTTAACCACCTATACACTGGAATGCTGGTTTGTGCATGGATTTTTTTTAACACTTTTGTGGCTCAATTTTCTCATTAGTAAAATGGGGAAAATAATAGTGTTTATCCCTTAGGTTTGAAATAAGGTTTAATAATACTTCTGAGTTATTAGAGCAATTCCTGATAAAATAAATATGTACAATGTTAACTATTATTAT